ACACGTGCGTGTACACACACACATGTAACACTAGTGGCGCAGTGCATGAAATTCGTGCATGGGGGAGCGGGGCGGGGAAAGATGTCCCTCAGCCTGGCCTGCACCTTCTCCAATCGGAGACCCCCCGGGGGGTCCGACTGCCAGATTAGGCCCGATCCCACACCAGCAGTCGGACATCCCTCTTGCAATCTGGGACCACTGGCTCCTAACTGCTCGCCTGCCTGCCTGCCTGATTGCCTCTAACCACTGCCTGCCGGCGTGGCCCAGTGCATGAAATTCGTGCATGGGGGAGCGGGGCGGGGAAAGATGTCCCTCAGCCTGGCCTGCACCTTCTCCAATCTGGGACCCCCCAGGGGGTCCGACTGCCAGATTAGGCCCGATCCCACACCAGCAGTCGGACATCCCTCTTGCAATCTGGGACCACTGGCTCCTAACTGCTCGCCTGCCTGCCTGCCTGATTGCCTCTAACCACTCTGCCTGCCGGCCTGCTTGCCCCCAACTGCCCTCCCCTCCTGGCCTGATTGCCCCTAACCGCCTCTGTCTCGGCCCCGCCACCATGGCTTTGTCCAGAAGGTCTCCTGGTCTAATTAGCATATTACCCTTTTATTAGTATAGATTGTATCTAGAGAATTTACATGCTGGTATGTTTTATCCAACAACACGGTATGGCATGTTAAGATGCTCCCTTTATAAACATTCACTTTAATGGCTACGTATGATATATATACCATAAATGGCTGTACTGTAATATTGTTGATCACTAAGCTCTCTAATCACATTGATGATAAAACTACCATTTTTTGGAATTTATGACTAAGTGCTTTTATTCACATCCTTATTAAACTTTACAAATTCTTCACGTTAGAGGCTATGGCTCTCCCTATTTTTCAGAAGACGCCAGAGCCCAGGGAGCCACTGAGCCACCAAAGGTCCTGTCCCCCAGCTCCTGCTGCCACAAACGACGCGTGTGGACGCCTTGGTCCCCCTTCCTGGGGAGCACATGATGCCCCGAGTGCTGCTGCTCCCCATCCCCGCTGAGCGCAGCTGGGGATCAGGCACCACACCCAGGGTGACCCCTGCCTGGCCCAGCGGCCAGCAAGCTCCACTGTCACACGGGGCAGTGACTGGCACAAACAGGTCATCACTTTTAGGAAGTCTGAATGCAAAACAGAGGAAGGAGGCCGACGGAACTAGAGACCTAGGTGGAGAGAAGGCAGCAGGGAGAACTCATGAAAAAGAGAAGAGTGGGGTGAGGAAGGGGGGGTGAGGAGGGGGCTGCAGAGGCAGCCCATGGAGTCTGAGGGCCGCCAGCCCGCAGTGAAGGGTCCGGGTCTGAGCCACAGGGAAATGCCCTGAGCCAGGGCGAGAAGCCATCAGGCTCGTATTTACCTGGTACCTTTCATGGAAGATCCACCAGAAGCTATCCAGCCACATGGCTCGGACGGGAGGAGAAGAGAGAAACTTCTCTAAGTCTCTATGTGAACAGAAAAACTTGAAAAGAAACAAAATTCACAGTTATTGCTGCTGCTGCTGTTTTATAATTCACCGGGAGCCACCGTCAGACTCGTAATCATCTCCACTCAGAACCTGCCTGCCCTCCTGAGTGCAAAGGGAGAGAGGCACTGCCTTCAAGCCTACCCGTCAGCCCAGGGCATTGCGCACTGACCGGCAAGCCTCCCGGTAGCCAGCAGCCCTCTGAGCCCCGTGCCTGTCTCTGTCGCCATCCCTCACGTTCCCTTCCAGGCAGTCGTGCAGTGGGAAGGATGCAGACTTTGGTACCAGGCCGCCTGGATCCGAATCCAGCTGGTATGCTCGCTAGCTGTGACCCTGAGCCACGCTACCGAACCGGGTGTGCTCAGAGTCCTCGTCCCGAAGAGGAGATGATGGTGAGGACTAAACAAGTGACACGTACAAAGTGCCCAGAACAGTGCCGGGCACCGAGGACTTGCTAAAAGTGTGCCCTACTGCATATTCATACTCCTCCTTCCCCTCACAGGATTTCATGTCAGCCCTGCGACAGACCCTGGGATGGCCACTAGCGATGGCTCTGAAAGGATGGGGTGGGGTGGCTTGGC